CGGGGCCCAGTGGGTGGTGGGGGCTCCAGGGTCTCTAAGCGCCTGCTTCCTTTCTCCCTGCAGAAGGCCCGCCTCTGAGCAACACCACGTTTCCTCATGTGCTGCCCCTCATCACCCTGCTGGAGTGTGACTCGGCCCCACCTGAGGGCCCTGAGCCCTGGGGCAGCACGGAGCACGGTGTGGAGGTGGTGCTGGCCCACTTGGAGGCTGCTCGCACGGTGGCACACCACGGAGGCCTGTACCACACCAATGCTGAGGTCAAGCTGCAGGGTGAGTGGCCAGTGGCATCTTGGAGGGCCTGCAGGCAGGGGCCTCTCTCCCTCTGTCTCACTGCTTCCCTTTCCACCCCTTTGTCCTGCTCTGTCTCCCTAACACCTTCCTTTCATTCCTCTCATGTCCTTTTTTTTTCTTGAGTCTTGCACTGTTGCCCAGGCTGGAGTGCAATGGTGTAATCTCAGCTCACTACAACCTCTGCTTCCCAAGTTCAAGCGATTCTCCAGCCCCAGCCTCCCGAATAGCTGGGATTATAGGCATGTTACCACCATGCCTGGCTAATTTTCTGTATTTTTAGTAGAGACAGGGTTTCACCATGTTGACCAGGCTGCTCTTGAACTCCTGACCTCAGAGGATCTGCCCACCTAGGCCTTTCAAAGTGCTGGGATTATAGGTGTGAGCCACCACGCCTGGTGGTGTGGCTTTTTTTTTTTTTTTTTTAGATGGAATTTCTCTCTCGTTGCCCAGGCTGTTGTGCAATGGCAAGATCTTGGCTCACTGCAACCTCTGCCTCCTGGGTGCAAGTGATTCTCCTGCCTCAGCCTCCCAAGTAGCTGGGATTACAGGCATGTGCCACCACATCTGGCTAATTTTGTATTTTTAGTAGAGCCAGTGTTTCACCATGTTGGTCAGGTGATCCGCCTGCCTTGGCCTCCCAAAGTGCTGGGATTACAGGTGTGAGCCACCGTGCCCAGCCTCATGTCTTTTCTTCACTCCTTCACTCATTAGTTTAACAAGTAACTATTAGTGGCAGGCACCAGGTGGGGGCTGGGCAAACAGATGATTCAAAGAGTATCTTAGCCATCGTCTTAGCTTCGCTGGACCTCAGTGTTCTCACCTGTGCAGTGGGCAGCCTGTGCCCTTACTTTACAAGGTTGTTTGCAAGGCTCCCAGGCTGGGGCTCTGGGGTGAGAAAGACCCACCCAGTCTTCAAGGAGTTCAGTCTAATTGAAAACTTAAACTCCCTCTGGCGAAAGGAGAAGAAAGTAGTGTAGACAATTTCTCTTACTGCTTCTGGCATTATGTAAATCATGATAATTTACTGAAGACAAATTGGAAATACAAGCTGAGCAAAAATAAGGTTAAAAAAAATTACCCATGTCCAAGCACGGTGGCTCACACGTGTAATCTCAGCACCTCGGGAGGCCAAGGTGGATGGATTAATAAGTCTGTATGTGCTGTAAATAGATGTACAGAAGCCGTGTTCTTTCTTTCATATAATGACACCTGAGGTCAGGAGTTCAGGACCAGCCTGGCCAACATGGTGAAACCCCATCTCTACTAAAAATACAAAAAAAAAAAAAAAATAGCTGGATATGGTGGCATGTACTTGTAATCCTAGCTACTTGGGAGGCTGAGACAGAAGAATCACTTGAACCCAGGAGGTGGAGGTTGCAGTGAGCTGAGATCACGCCACTGCACTCCAGCCTGGGTAGCAGAGCAAGACTCCGTTTAAAAAAAAAAATTGCCCATGATTACTCAGGAGCAAATGCTTTGAACATCCTGGTATATGTCTTCCCCACCTTTTTCTTCTTCAGAAAATAAAAATAATTATCTTAAAAATAGCTGAGGCACAGTGGCTCAGGCCTGTAATCCCAGCACTTTGGGAGGTTGAGGCGGGTGGATCACCTGAGGTTGAGAGTTTGAGACCAGCCTGGCCAACACGATGAAACTCCATCTCTACTAAAAAGACAAAATTAGCTGGGCGTGGTGTCGCATGCCTGTAGACCCAGCTACTCCAGGGGCTAAGATAGGAGAATCGCTTGAACCCTGGAGGTGGAGGTTGCAGTGAGCCCAGATTGCACCATTGCACTCCAACCTGGGCAACAAGAGAGAAACTTTGTCTCAAAAAAAAACCAGACAAGCAAAAAATAAACAAAAAACAAGACAAGATGCTAAACTACAGGGTCACGTTGATCCACAAATTTTGTTGGATCCTTGGCAGAGTTGATGGGAGGTCCCTAACAGGGGGGCCCTGAAGAATGCTGGGGCTCTGGACAGGAATCCCAGCCTCTGCCCTGACCCTATGCCCCAACATTGCAGGGTTCCAGGCCCGGCCAGAGCTCCTGGAGGTGTTCAGCACGGAGTTCCAGATGCGCCTCCTCTGGGGCAGTCAGGGTGCCAGCAGCAGCCAGGCCCGGCGCTATGAGAAGTTTGACAAGGTCCTCACTGCACTGTCCCACAAGCTGGAGCCTGCCATCCGCTCCAGCGAGCTGTGACCCCACGGACCTTTCCCCTCTGCAGCTGCGGACAGCGTCAGGGGCAGAGGGGCACAGACCTTTCCCCAGAGCACCCCAAGGACACTGTGATCAACCCGAGAATGTTCTGGGTTCAACTCCAGCATCTCCCTTGCACCCCCAGGGTCCTGCATGGACTCTGGGTTCCATCCCACCTGCTACACACTCACCAGGTCTCCATTGAGGAAGAACAGGAACGCCGGTTCTCCCACCAGCTTCTGCTGCTCCCCTTCCTGCTGGGGTTCCCCGTTTTCGAGCCATGGGAGGCTGTTCACGCCTCCTCACTCTCCATCAGTCCCTCACCCACACCAAGGCCTCCATCTCGCTGTAAATAAGTCTGTGTGTGCTGTAAATAGATGTACAGAAGCTGTGTTCTTTCTTTCATATAATAAACTTTTATGACTCTTTATTCTGTCTCTCGGGCTCCTGGGGTGGAAGGAAGCACCTTTTCTCAGGTGAAAGGTAGAAAACTTCATTCAACAAATATTGTGAGTGAGTGGTGAGTATCTGGAGCCAGTGGCGTGTAGGTAAAGAAAGGCAGATTTATCAGAAACAGTATGAAAGGTCATTGCAAGGTAGCAAGGGGCAGATCAGCAGAAGAGGAACTGACTGCAAAGAGACAAAGGCTTGCTGTGAGTTTTTATAGATGGCGCTTCTGCTGTGTGCCGAAGGGGGCTTTCTGCAGTACTGGTAATGCCAAGGTTGCAGTGGGCTAACCTACAGGTGTCTGGTGAGAAGTTGGGCACAGGAGGGCTGTGTGTCCTGAACCATCAAGAAGGCAGACTTCGAGTTTATCTGTCTTTCCTTTTTCCTTTCCCCTGGTCCTGTCAGCCTGACTCATTTCCCTTAATTAGGATTCTACAACAAATACTTCTTTAGCACCTGGGACATTCCAGATTATGCCGGGAGCCGGGGTTACAGCAAATATGAAAACCCAGTCCTTGCTCTCTTGGCGCTCACAGACCAGTGGGAGAGATAAACAGTTGATTCAAAACTCGTGCTCCTACCCCATGCCCTGCCCCAGGATGCCATGATAACAGTTCCCACAAATGCACGACCAGAAATCTGAGGGTTTGGGGTGGACAGGCTTTTTGAAATCTATGATCCCAACTCCCTCTGGTAGTCTGAGACCTGGAAGGAGAAGGGACTTTTCCCAGGTCGCAGCAGCAGAGTGGGAAAGGCTTAACTTGGCTTCCAGGACCCAGACTTCGCTCCTTCTTTCTCCTTAATAGTGGGAACTACTCTTTTTTTTTTTTTTTTTTCCTGAGATGGCTTCACTCTCGTTGCCCAGGCTATCGTGCAGTAGTGTGATCTCAGCTCACTGCACCCTCCACCTCCCAGGTTCAAGGGATTCTCCTGCCTCAGCCTCCTGCGTAGCCAGGATTACTGGTGCTTGCCACCATGCCTGGCTAATTTTTGTATTTTTAGTAGAGATAGGGTTTCGCCGTGTTGACCAGGCTGGTCTTAAACTCTAGGCCTCAGGTGATCTGCCTGACTCGGCCTCCCAAAGTGCTGGGATTATAACCTGACTGGAACTATTTATTTCTTTTCAGTCTTTGATATTTGGCCCCAGAAGTCCTAGAGTGTGTGTGTGTGTGTGTGTGTGTGTGTGTGTGTAACTATGTGTTGAGGTTGGTAGGGATAGGGAAGGGAGGGAGTCTTTGTGGTGGGCCATGAAAACTGTTGCCTTGGTTCCCTTACTCTAGTGGCTGGGGGAGGTGAACAACATGGATCAAAACGAATCCAGGCCAAGCTGGAGGCCTGGGGAGCCTGTGCATTGAACCTCAAACGTCTGGAGTCCTTTGCCTTCTGAATCCTTTGACCAAGAGAAGCTGATAACATGTAGCGAGCACTAGGGCTCTGGTAACAGCCAGCCTTGGGTTTAGTTCTATTGTTTAACAGCTGCGTGACATTGGGTAAGAGGCTTAACCTCTTCGGTCCCAAATACGTCCTTACTGAGTTGGGGACAACAACAGAAGCCGTCTCCTAGGACTGATGCCAAGCATTGGGCGACAGTTGCTGCTAGGTGAGGGAGAGTCCTGTTTCATACACAATGGAATGTCGATGATCATGTATTAATCACTTTCTGAGCCAAACAATTTGTGTGCCTTTATGTCATTGAAACACCACCATTTCTCTGGATAGCAGGTACTATTATCACATTATAAGGTATATAGGCACTTAGCACTAATGGCACAGAGTAAGTGCTCACCAGAAGCTGTTAGTGAGGGCACTTTTGTCATATAAAAGAAAAAAGCATGGAAAAGGCATTTTGCAAGGCGTAAGGTTCTGCACAAGTTTTTGCTGTAATTGTTACGTCGCCCTTTGTGGTCATAATCCTTTATTTATTCTTTCTGAGCTACTACGATGGTCCCCTAGTTACCGTGGCCATGGAAACGCGGCCCGCCGTCCCGGATTGGACGGCTCGCGGGCTCCCCCTGGAGGCCACCTTTCGGTTCTGCTGCGGAACCACTGGGCCGGCCTTGGAGGCGGGGAGAGGGGTGTGGCGAGTTGTAGGCGATGGGCGTGGCTGCTGCGGAGCGGAGCACGCCGGAAGTTGTAGTTCCCGGGCGAGGCGGCGGGCTGCCCCACGCCGAGCTCGGGCCTCACCCGGATGGCGGCTGCGACGCGCGGCTGCCGGCCCTGGGGCTCGCTCCTCTGGCTGCTCGGGCTGATCTCGGCCGCGGCCGTCGCCTGCGACCTGGCTTCTCTGCGCTGCAGCTTGGGCGCTTTTTGCGAATGCGACTTCCGGCCCGACTTGCCGGGTGAGGTGCCAGGGAGCCCGGAGCGAGGGGCGGGCGGACTCGGGAGCGCTGGGAGCCCGGCTGGCCAGGGCGGGAGCAGCTGAGGACCCTGAGGGCCGTGGGACCAGGGGGCGGGGCCCGCAGACTTGCGAGGGTGAAGGTTACCCGTTGGGGTCCAGGAGCCCCTGCCAATCTGGGGAGAGGTCTTGGGCCTCCCCGGAATGGCCTGTCAAGGGAGAAACGCGCCTTGGGGATGGCCGGGGTCTGGGACTGACCCCATTGACAGCTCGCTTTTATGGCTGAGTGCAATCTAGAGGATCGCCTGGTGGGGGCGGGGCCGAGCTGAATCAGGCCTGGAGGTGGCTCTTTTCCGCCACAGACCCCAAGGGCCCGTGCCATGTGGATAGTCAGCTTGGACAAACGTAAGGACACAGGAGTCCCAGACCAAGTTCCAGACATGACGTTCCCCTTGAACCTCTGCCTCGGTGGGATGTGTCCTCACCATCCTCCTGTGGCCTTAGGTCTGGAGTGTGACCTGGCTCAGCACCTAGCCGGCCAGCATCTGGCCAAGGCGCTGGTGGTGAAGGCGCTGAAGGCCTTTGTGTGGAACCCAGCCCCCACCAAGCCACTGGTCCTCTCCCTGCACGGCTGGACCGGCACCGGGAAGTCCTATGTCAGCTCCCTGCTGGCGCACTACCTCTTCCAGGGTGGTCTCCGCAGCCCCCGCGTGCACCACTTTTCTCCCGTCATCCACTTTCCCCACCCCAGCCACATCGAGCGCTATAAGGTAGGCTGGATGCGTCCTTGACCGCTGTTCTCCTCACCATGGGCTGACACCCTAGGGAATAAGTCCTGAGCCCAGACAGGGGAGTAACCTGCTCCAGGCCACACAGCCAGCTGCAGCCCCAGCCCTCAGGACCCATCCAGCACAGAGCTTGGGAAGGTGCCATTCTACCTATCAGGGAGCACTTTGATTCCTTGGGGCAGTGAGGAACCCTGGTAGTACCTACCTGCCAGCGTTGTTTTGAAGGACATGAGATTATCATTGCAGATATTAGTTATTGAGCACCTATGTTTGTCAGATAATCTGCACTATTGTCCTGCTGGAAATCAGCCCCAATTTGTGGCTCAGAGTAAGCATGGGGAAATACTGATCTTACTACTACCGTTGTTGATTGCAAGGTACCTTCCAGGCTGGTCTGTTTCAGATCATCCTGCTTGGTAGGTTCAGGGAGCAAGAAGGAGCCTTCCCCTTTTGTAGAAAGCAGCAAGTGTCATGGAACAAGCCCCGAACAGGGAAGTGGGAGGCTTGGGTTTGAGTCCCTGTTCTCCTGCTGACCGGCTGTGTGACTTTGGGTGAGTCTCTGCCCCTCTCTGGAATACAGTTTCACCATCAGTCTCACTAAGGGGTTGGTGCTCTCTGGGGAACATCTCCCTAAAAAGGAAATTAGTTCTTGGTTTGGGAAGAGGTCTGGGGTTGGGGGAGTTTCTCCAGCCTCCCTGGAACTCCTGTCTCTCCCCTGCAGAAGGATCTTAAGAGCTGGGTCCAAGGGAACCTCACTGCCTGTGGCCGCTCCCTCTTCCTCTTTGATGAGATGGACAAGATGCCCCCAGGTCTGATGGAAGTCCTGCAGCCTTTTCTGGGCTCCTCCTGGGTTGTATACGGGACCAACTATCGAAAAGCCATCTTCATCTTCATCAGGTGGGGCCTGGCTTTACAGGGGGCATGGTGGGGGGCCACTTCTCGGAGGTTCATCCATCTATACAGCCTCGGCCTGTGCTTCCAGCAGAATCCAATTCCCCCTGGGCCCAGCTGGGCCTTCCCCGTGCCCCCAACACTCTCAGAGGTGACATTGTCATTCAGCCTGGTTGATTTCCCCTTGGACACTCTCAGCCCATTCTTGGGCTCAGTCTTTTTTTTTTTTTTTGGAGATGGAGTTTTGCTCTTGCTGCCCAGGCTGGAGTGCAATGATGTGATCTTAGCTCACCACAACCTCCACTACCAGGGTTCAAGCGATTCTCCTGTCTCAGCCTCCGGAGTAGCTGGGATTACAGGCATGCGCCACCACTCCCAGCTAATTTTGTATTTTTAGTGGACATGGGTTTTTCTATGTTGGTAAGGCTGATTTTGAACTCCTGACCTCAGGTGATCCTCCTGCCTCGGCCTCCCAAAGTGCTGGGATTACAGGTGTGAGCCACTGCACCTGGCCTGGGCTCAGTCTTTTTGATTGCCACTTCTTTGTGGCTTTGTAGAAGCCCTGCCAGGTCAAGAAGTTTTCCTTCTTTTGTGGCGAGGAGGACACAGGCCTGGGAAAAACAGGAGCTGAGTTCTTGTCCTTTAGTCCCAGCTCTCAGAATCCTTGCTGTGTTTCCTCAGGCAGCATGGCTCCTGTCTCTGAGCCTCTGCCTCTGCTTCTGAATAGCGAGGCCAATGATGATACCCTGATGTCCTCCTGGAAGTTCAGTGAGGGAAAGTCAGTTAAGGGACACAAAAGTGTTTTGTAAACTGTAAAGTACGTGGCATGTATAGGTGAATTACAGGGGCATGAGAGGAAGTGGAGCATTTTCAGTGGGGTTGGCTTCTCTAGGCACTGAGCCATGCTCCTAGGTCATGTCAGGTGGCAGTGGGGAAGCGAGGGCCAAATCCTGCCCTGTGCTAATTCTCGTCTGAGTCTCAGCCTGAGTCTCCCCTGGTTTTAGCAACACGGGTGGCGAGCAGATCAACCAGGTGGTACTGGAGGCGTGGCGCAGCCGCCGGGACCGCGAGGAGATCCTCCTGCAGGAGCTAGAGCCGGTCATTACCCGCGCAGTGCTGGACAACCCGCTCCGTGAGTCTGGCTCAGTAACCTCCTCCTGGGGGGCTTCACCTATACCCAGGGAGCCAGGTTCTCTCGGGTCTCATGGTTTGCCTGCTGACCCAGGAGTCTGAGGCCAGGCTTTGGCACTCCCAGCTCTGTGACCTTGGGTGAGCCTTACAGCCCCTGAGTTCTACACCCAGGTGACTGAGGGGACTAAGGCCAGCATCTTCCCTCCTGCCCCTGGGAGATGGAGCCAGCTTCTCCCGTCTTGTGAAGCACAAAGTCCTCTCCCCTCCCGCCCTTTCTGCAGATGGCTTTTCACGCTCGGGCATCATGGAAGAGCACCTCCTAGACGCAGTGGTGCCCTTCCTCCCGCTCCAGCGGCACCATGTCCGGCACTGTGTGCTCAACGAGCTGGCCCAGCTGGGCCTGGAGCCAAGGGATGAGGCTATCCAGGCTGTGCTGGACAGCACCACCTTCTTCCCTGAGGATGAGCAGCTTTTCTCCTCCAACGGCTGCAAGACCGTGGCCTCCCGAATCGCCTTCTTCCTCTGACTCCCCAGGTGGTGTCCTTGTCCTCCCCTCATGGCCAGGCCATGCAGCAAAGGCCTGGGGCCTCTGTCACAGGGACCCAGAGCACCAAGTGAGATGAAGAAATGTCAGCTAGGCCACGGGACAAACGACTAGGAAGGGCTCTGGCCTCTAAACTGGCTCGAGAGCATCTTGGCCGCTGCCGCCTTCCCCAGGGAAACTCCTGGTCACCCCAGAACCTCACGGAGCCTTGACCTTGCCTACAGCCTGAGCCTTCTTACTGTGAATTATAACTCAGGGACTGTGGCTCGTGGCGGCACTCCCTCCTCAGTCTGCCTCCTTGGTCAGGCACCATACCCCCTCCCCTCCGCCCTGCACCCTCTGTTTGTATCATCAAGCCAGGTGGAGACTTCTCAGTTTCCAGAAATGGAGTGACTCAAGCTACCACTTGGGCCTGGTTTTAGAAGTTTTTAATTTTATAAAAGAAGAGAATAAATATAATAAACTCAGCTATGGGACCAGAGGACTGTTGCTAAGACTTTTATGTTATTTGTTTTTATTTATTTATTGAGATGGATTTTCACTCTTGTTGCACAGGCTGGAGTGCAATGGCATGATCTCGGTTCACCGCAACCTGCACCTCCTGGGTTCTAAGCAATTCTCCTGCCTCAGCCTCCCAAGTAGCTGGGACTACAGGCATGTGCCACCATGCCAGCTAATTTTGTATTTTTAGTAGAGATGGGGTTTCTCCATGTTGGTCAGGCTTGTCTTGAACTCCAGACCTCAGGTGATCTGCTGGCCTTGGCCTCCCAAAGTACTGGGATTATAGGCGTTAGCCACCATGCCTGGCAGCTAAGATTTTTAATTGCTCTGGAAGGAGGCAGCTGGCTAAGTGCCAGTGTGGGGAGTGGTGGGTAGAACTGCTCCCCTTCCCAGCAAGAAGTGAAGGGCTGGGTGGTCCCTTCAGAGAGCTTCATAGTGGGTGAGGTCCTGACCAACCTCAGTTTTGCTGAGACTGGGGCTGGGTCCCCAGATGGACTCGGCCTTGCTGGAAGTTGAGCTCACGCTCTGGCTTTTGCCCTGGGCAGCCTCAGCCTTGCTGGGCCTCTGGCTCTGGTCTTGGACATCCTTAGTCTTGCTGAAGCTCCAGTTTGAGTCATAGAAAACCTCAGTCTTGGCAGAACTTCGGAGCAGTCCCCTGCTTCTGCCCTGGGTGGCATCAACCTTGCTGGGTCTCCAGCTCCGTCCACAAGCAGCCTTGACCTTTCTGGGCCTCTGTCTTGGGCTCCGGGTGGTCTTGGTCTTGCTGGGTGCCTGCCTTGGGCTCTGGGTGGCCTCGATCTTGCTGGAGCTCTGCCTCTGGCCCTGGCTGGACTTGATTTTTCTGGGACCATGACTCGGTGCCTCCCGGTTGTTCCCAGAGTCTGAGGATTGCGTCTTCAGCTGTGACGAGTCAGAGAATGTCACGGCGGTGGCTGAGGTGCTCCTGTATTCCTGGCAGGTAGCTGACAACTCAGTCTCTGAGGTGCCTGTGGTCCTGACTGGGAAGGGTGTGCCAAGAACGCCCATCAGGCGCTCACACCTGCCCTGGACAGCTCCAGGAAAAGGGGCTTCTCAGTCTCACACTGGCCTACGGCCCTGAGGCTTTGTATCACCAAGGGAAATGCCTGTAGATCACCCCCGCCCAACCCTGCAGCGACCCAGACCCTGAGGGGCGGGGCTGTGAGATGGGGGGAGATACCCGAGAGCCCCCTTCACCCAGTCCCAGGCCTCTGGTCCCAGGCCTCCACTCTGCGGCTGCCCCTGCCTTCTGTGTTCCTGTTGCAGCAGACAGCCGCTGCATCCCCCTACCTCCATCCCACCCTCCTGCCCTTCCGTCCTCACCCCCACTAAAAGGCCCTAAATGCGTGCACAGCCCGGGTTTCCCCACACTGTCTGCCCTGTCTCCTGGCTGTCAGGTCACCGTCAGCCTTCTTCCTTTTGGAGCTTAGAGCTCATGTCCCAGGGCAAGGTCTATGCCAGTCATCCCTGCACCCAGTGTTGAGCACAGGCCTGGCCCAGGCACTCTGCATTTGCTGGATTCACGAAATGAAGAAGGGGCTGGACCCTGCCACTCCCCTCCCCACCGAGGGCTGTGCACACCCGCCCTAGGGCCTCTAAGGAGCAGCATCCTGGTTCTTCACTTCTGTCTTCTCCAGGCAGGGGCCCTGAGGAACTGGGGCTAAAAGCCGCCTGGCCATGCACAGGGTTTGTGAGCTTATTTCAGGGACAGGCCTGGGAGGGAACCAGAGTGGAGGAGCAGCTTCTGTGAAGTGCCTGGACCAAGCCTCAGCCTCCCTGCCATGCTGGGCACTGCCTGCTGAGTCCTTAGCAGGCCCTGAAAGAGCATTACTCACACTCTAGAGCCGCTTGCCCCAGGCCACCCAGCTGTCAGCAGCAGCCAAACTCACACCTAGGCTAGAGGTCTTAGACCCCTGACCTTTGACCATCCTGCTCCCTTGGCTTCCTGAGGCCTGGCGGGAGCACCAGGGACTTACAGTGAATGCTAGAGGCTGAAGAGGTCTGGTCAAGGTAGCTGTCAGACAGGGACTCCACCTTTCTAAGGATGAGCTCTGGTTTCTTCTCCTATGGCAAGAAACAGGCTTTGTAGTTCAGATAGTAGGAGGCCCATGCAGCTGTACCTCTGGAAGACCAAAGGCCCTGGGTCTCTTCAGTGGTCATTCCCCTGAGCTCAGAGGTCCTTGAAGGTGCCAGATTAGGGTGGGGTGGGGACGTGGAAAGGCTAAACCTGGCAGGAAGGGGAGTGGCCAGGCTAGACAGGCGTGGTACCATGAGAACGGCTGTGTTTAAGGGGATGCTAGCGCCTTAATCTTTTCAACTGCAAAATGAAAATTAGTTCAGCTGTGGGACAGGCTTCTGTAAATGGTAAAGGGCTATGCCCTGGGGAATGCTTACTGAGGATTTGAGGGGCTTCTCTCTGCCTTACTCCCTTCCATTCTCCCAGCACAAGTGGGGCTAGGTGGAAGGGGAGAAGTACTGGTACTAATGACCATCTCACTGACCAGGAAACCAAGGTTCAGAGCCCCTAAAAATCCTGCCCAGGGCCACTCAGCTAAGAAGCAGAGAGGCTGGGTTCGAATCCAAGCTGCGGGTCTCTGCCCACATTTATACCTACAGACAACGAGGCGCACCACAGTGCCCAGCCTCCAGCTGGGAGTTGCGCTCTGGGCTCCTGCCCTGGGCTCCATCCACTTCAGCACAGCATCTCCCTGGGGGAGGGAGCCCCTGACTTCAGGGGACACACAGAGGGAAGGTGTGTGCTTTAACATTCATTCTAACATGAGCTAGAAAACGGAAGAGCTAGCATTTTCTTTTATCTCTTCTTCTTTAGTCAGGGTCTTGCTCTCTCACCCAGGCTGGAATGCAATGGTATGATTACGGCTCACCACAGCCTTAACCTCTTGAGCTCAAGAGATCCTCTTGCCTCAGCCTACCAAGTAGCCGGGACTGTAGGCACACACCACCATGCCTGGCTAATTCGTGTATTTTTTGTAGAGATAGGGTTTTGGCCATGTTTCCCAGGCTAGTCTTGAACGCCTGAGCTCAAACGATCTGCCCATCTTGGCCTCCCAAAGTGCTGGGATTATAGGCATGAGCCACTGTGCCTGCCCACATTTTCTATTGATGGCGAAGGATGCTGGTATTCCTGTACTTCAACTGCATAAAGTTTCCTTTGAACATAAGTGTATGTGACATCTACCATCAGTAGAATAGAGAAACCCACAGTGGGATAGGATGGAATATTCTACAGCACCAGTGAGAGGGAGCAGGCTGCTACCACCAGCCGCAGCGTGGGTGATATCACCATGCTGTCCATTTATGTGAAGAAAAGATAAAACTCATGTTTGGCATTAGGAATCAGGACAGCCTTGCAGGTGGAATAGGCTAGGGGAGGAGCCTCAAAGGGGACCCTAAGGGGCTTCTGGGAGCTGGGAAAGTGTTCTTTCTCCATCTGGATAATGGTATCATGGGTGTAATGCAATCTGTGAAAATTCATCAAACTGGTACTTAGGATTTGTGCACTTTTCTATATTCATGTTACATTCAATAAGAGGTTTTCAGAAACAAATTTAAGAATTAAGAAAATTCTTGGGGTTGGCTGCAGTGGCTCGTGCCTGTAATCCCAGCACTTTGGGAGGCCCAGGAATGCAGATCACTTAAGCCCAACAAAAATACTAAAAATACAAAAAATTAGCTGGGCGTTGTGGTGCACACCTGTAATCCCAGCTACCTGGGAGGCTAAGGCGTGAGAATTACATGAACCCAGGAGTGGAGGTTGCAGTGAGCTGAGATCATGCCGCTGCACTCCAGCCCAGGTGACAGAGCAAGACTCTGTCTCAAAAAAAAAAAAATTCTGTCACAAGTGGCAAGTGGCTAGTGCACACAATAGAATTTGTGACAGTGACCGTGGGCAGGGGTGTGACTGCCCTCTGAGTCTGTCACATCCCCACACACCCTCCCTCAGGAGCACCCCTTGCTGGTGCCATCCCCATCTCATAGCAAGATGTCCCCAGCCCCTCACACAGCTGAGGGGTTGCAGAGCCAGGCCTGGAAGCCAGATTCCACTGGCCTGCATCCTGCAGCCCTGGGCTGGGGTATGCTCTGCCCCAGACCCCAAGCACCCCAGGCCCTGGCATGTGTTCCACTCACCTCTTTTTTCTCCTCCTTCTTCTCTTCCTTCTCCTTGGGGGCCTCAGCCTCTCCCTCTGAGCCTTCTGGTTCTACCTGCAGGAACTCAGGGGCCGCCTTTAGCTCCTTGGAATTCTCAATCAAAGGCTTCCCCTGCATCCATGAGTGCCGCAAGGCCCAGGCCTTCTGGCGCTCCAACTCCCACTGCCTGAGCATCCTGCCAAGTGGCGCCCCCGCAAGATACTGAGTCAGCCTCCCTAGCCCATGCTGGTCACTCCAAGACTAGACAATGACCCCGGCATGCAGCTGGAGCCAGAGGAGCCTGGAGCTACAGCCATTCCCCAGCCCTAGCCTGTGCCCCCTGCTCCAGCACTTACCCCACAATGCCTTGTGGGTCACCGGCCTGCAGGCTGCCCTCCACCATCTGCTCCAGCTGCAGCCTGGCCAGGTGGGCTACCTGGGTGCTGAGCACCTCCTCCACTGACATGCCCGGGAAGAGGTTGGTCATCAGCAGGGACAGCTGCCATGAAAGGGGGTGACCAGAGTCAGGTGAGGGCCAGAGCAAGGAGCAGACGGTGTGATGCTGCCCTGACCCCCTGCACAGCCCAGCTTGGTGCTTCCCAGGGCTGAAGAAAGCAGAGTTTTGCAAAGTTTTTTGTCTTTGTTTTTTGAGATGGAATCTCACTCTATCACCCAGGCTGGAGAGTAGTGGCACAGTCTTGGCTCACAGCAACCTCTGCCTCCTGGGTTGAAGCAATTCTCGTGCCTCAGGCTTCTAAGTAGCTGGGATTACAAGTGTGCACCACCATGCCTGCCAAATTTTTGTATTTTTAGTAGACACAGGGTTTCACCATGTTGGCCAGACTGGTCTCAAACTCCTGACCTCAAAATCTAATGACTTGGCCTCCCAAAGTGCTAGGATTACAGGTGTGAGCCACTGCACCTGCCCTTAGGATGGTTATCAAATCAGATTTCTTTGGGGGCCAAGAAGTATCTTTTTGCACCAGGCATGACTCTGGAGCCTGTCCTCCTGATGTGGCAGGAACCCACCTTTGGTTGCTTGGGGTTGAGGAGCAGGACAGTGGCCACATCCTGGCGGGCCCCAAAAATGTTCTGCAGCAGCTGCCGGCTCTTGGCCCGGTACAGGTAGTACTGGGCTTTCTGGGGGTTGTGCCGGATGGCGGTGGAGAAGTGTTCCTCTGCTTTCTGGAACTGCCTGCAGGACACAGTGGGTCCCAAGCTGCCATGAGCTGGGCCATCTGTAGGGAAAATGGTGGCTTCTGGGCTCCACTGAGGAGTTAGGGGGAAACAAGGCTGGATCTGCTCCCCTCACCATGCCCCTGTCCGCTCTCTCCACCAGCTACGTCCTTGATGGAACCCAGTGTGAAACTCCAACATCAATGAATATTTTTATGATCTTGGGGTAGGGAAGGCCTTTCTGAGAATGTCATAAACCCATCAGCTAAAATGAACATATTAATTTGACTGTGATTAAGTTCCAAGTTATTGAGTTGCAAAAACATCACAAAGAAAAGCAATATATAGGGAAAATATATTTTGCCACATAGAGTAGACAATAGGCCAATATTCTCAGTCTACAAAAAACCCTCATGACCAATTTCCTTTTTTTGAGATGGATTCTGGCTCTATTGTCCAGGCTGGAGTCTAGTGGCACAATTTCAGCTCACTGCAACCTCCACCTCCTGGGTTCAAGTGATTCTCCTGCCTCAGCCTCCCACGTAGCTGGGATTACAGGGGCACAGTACCACGCCCAGCTAAGTTTTGTATTTTTAGTGGACACAGGGTTCACCATGTTGGCCAGGCTGGTCTCGAATGTCTGACCTTGTGATCCACCCACCTTGGCCTCCCAAAGTGCTAGGATTACAGGAGAGTGAAGGCTCTTTAGTGAAGACTTGGAAAACAAAATGGATATTTAGGAAACACAGGGCCAGGCACGGTGGCTCACGCCTGTAATCCTAGCACTTTGGGAGGCCAAGATGGGCAAATCGCTTGAGGCCAAGGGTTTCAGACAAGCCTGGGCAACATGGTGAAACGCTGTTTCTACTAAAAATACAATAATCAGCCGGGCATGGTGGTATGCACCTGTAATCCCAGCTACTCGGGAGGCTGAGGCAGGAGAATCGCTTGATCCCAGGAGACAGAGGTTGAGGTGAGCCAAAATCCCACCATTAGCCTGGATGACAGATCAAGACCCAGTCTCCAAAGAAAAAAAAAAAAGGAATAATAACCAGGAGTGAAGCATTCTTTTTTTTTTTTTTTTTTTTTTTTTTTTTGAGATAGGGTCTCGCTCCGTCACCCAGGCTAAAGTGCAGTGGCACAATCTCGGCTCGGTGGAGGTGCAACCTCCACCTCCCAGGTTCAATCAATTACCTTGCCTCAGCCTCCTGAGTAGCTGGGATTACAAAGTGCACACCACCACACCAGGCTAAGTTTTTTGTATTTTTAGTAAAGATGAGATTTCACCATGTTGGCCAGACTGGTCTCCAACCCCTGACCTCAGGCAATCCTCCCGCCTTGGTCTTCCAAAGTACTGAGATTACAGACGTGATCCCCATGCTTGTCCCAGAGAAGCATCTTGATTGACCCAGGGATCCCAGCAGTTGGCCTCCTGCCCGCCCCGCCTTCAGGCCTGCCCGGCTCACCGTGGGGGCCGAAGCCCACGTACCTGCGCCTCTGCTCGCAGAAGCCCATTTTCTCCTGCAGCAGGCCCATGCGCATGTTGGCGCCCTCGTCCTGAGGGCTCAGGGCCAGCGCCTGCTGGTAGTCCGCCTCCGCAAAAGCCAGATTGCCCAGCTGGAAGAAGCAATCTAGGGTCCGGGGGCGGGGGTGAGTGGACCTCAACTTCCAATGCCCAGGAGCCCCACAGCCCAGCCGGCTCCAGCCCGGGAGTGGGGCCTCAATCTGGTAGCTGATAACCCCCACAGGCGGTCGTGGTCCTGGTCCCCTCTAGTTTTCTGGGCGTCTGGGCACTGTTTCCCCAGCTGCCTGTTTTGAGCATTTTAAGGAGTCTGGAGCCAGTCTGTCTAACACAACATTTCCCAGAGTGTGTTCCTGGGATACTGAGACTATTAACATTTTCTCTTCCCTCCCTTCCCTCCTCTCTCCCTTTCTCCCTCCCCCAGGGGTCTCCAGTGCCCAGTGGCGTCTTAGAGTGAGGCTCCCCTGTCCCCGCCCCTGCCCTGGCCTCTGCGCACCGCCCCGGTTGATGTAGAGCCCTTTCTCCCGCTGCTCGTCCCGGAGGGCCTTGTTGAGCAGCAGCACGCCCTCCTGGTAGGCGCCCTGCCTGTAGCAGTGCACGGCAAAGTCATTGTAGGTCAGCAGCAGCTGGCGTTGTGCCTGCTGCACCATGTCCTCCTGGTCCTCGGTCACCATGTCCAGCGTCCTCAGGAAGTCCTCCACTGCCCCATCAAACTCCTGGAGCCGACGGTACATGATGCCCCTGTGGGGAAGGGGCATATGGCAGCAGGGACATGAGGGCCAGTGCACCCCTACCGCCTGGCGAGTGGCCAGACAAGGCACTGCCGGCTCTGGGCCTCCTGACCCATGGAGGCAGTGGGGATCCCCACCTCATTTGCTTGGTTTGCCCTGTGGGGCCAGCTCTTCACCACTACTCAGATAACCCACTAGGCACTGATCATTTTATTTTTTGCAAAAATAGCTTGTCTCTTTGGGAGCCAGGTGTATGCCAGCCTCTACACTAAAGCATCTTGTATAAGAAACAGGTGTTTTACCACCACGGTTTAGATAGGTTAATTGGCCCCAAATCACAGTGGCCTGTCATGTCACTGAATCACTTGTGGGATGCTGAAGCCCAGCCCCTTGGCATAGGGAGAAGTTGCCTGGGGGGACAGGCCCCTGGAGTCACTCCTGCCAGGGCAGTGGCGCTCCCTCCTGAAATCCAGCAGGATGTGGCAAGTTCCCAGGGATCAAACTCAAACCTAAGTCTTATCCACTGAGCTGGGCTTGGGTCCCAGCGTGAACTGCTTGGCAGGCTGGGGCTGTGGGATTCCCGGGGTAACTGGGACGTTGTTGCCATCCCTCTTCCAGCAGTAACAGAGACCACCTCTGTGATGCCTTAACCCAGTAGGAAGTAGGGAAAGATTGTTAGGGGCTAGCTGGGGAAACTGAGGCATGGAAGGGGTCAGGGACTCTCCTTAAACCATATAGCAAGTCTGTGGCCTGGCAGGACCTGGGAGCCAAGGCCCGCACCTCCCCATGCAGTACCGGAAGAGGAAGAGACTGGGGTCCAGAGGGTTGTTGTCGATGGCAGAGTTGATGCGCTGCAGTGCGTGCTGCAGCCTGCCCTGCACGGCCAGGATCCCTGCGTCTTGGCGTGCCTGCTGTGCCTGGGCCACCATCTTCTGGAGCAGCATCCTGGCCTGCGGGTGCCTTGGAGTCAACAGCAAGGCGCTGTGCAAATCCCGGAAGCAGAGGTGGGGCTGCAGGAGGCCAGGGGGTGGCATCAGGGGCACAGCGGGGGGAGTGAGCCAACGCCTGTCCTGCTGCATGGGACCTAGAGGCATTTCTCTGGCAGGGTGGTATCACACCATGCCTCCTCCATGCCCCCCACATCCCTCCACGTTCCACCCTTTCTGCCTCTTGGAGGACACAAAGCATGGTGGGGAAATTCCATTGCAGGCCCCATGCCAGCTGGCCCTTTCCAGATGTGACCTCAGGTGAGCCAGGTTAGCCCCAGTGGTTTCTGCAGATGCTGCCTCCTTGTCAGGCCTCTGTAAAGCCCACTCAAGGTGGGGGAGTGTGTGACCTCTTGACTGTGATGGTTGTGTCCCCGTCCCCTCCCCTGCACTTCCTCTTCCCCTCCCTGACCTTTGAGCCCAAGCCCAGATTCAGGCCTGGGTACAGCAGAAACTCCCCCAGCAAGTCTCTGCTGAAGCTCAGCCAGGCAACAGGCAATGCTCTGTCCCCTACAGGGTGACTGGCTGGAAGGTGAACAGGTGGTGTGGACAGCAGGTGGTGTGGACAGGTGGATGTCGGGAGGGAAATGGCAGGAGCTAGGGGCAGGGCTCTGGCGCAGGCAGCCTTGGGCTCCAGGCAGTGCCCCTGGGAACAGGCTGTGTGACCTTGGGCAAGCCACCCCGGGCTGGTTCTTCCTCTATGAAGAGGACGGCATGTCTCCATCCCAAAGGGTTGCTGCGAGCCTTACAGCTAAACAAGGGCAAAGTGCTGAGAATGCGCCTATGCACAGCAGGGGCTCAGATCACAACAGTCACCAACAGTTACCAATAATTACTAGTTTCGGCAGGGTGCGGTGGCTCATGCCTATAAACCCAGCACGTGGGGAGGCCAAGGCAGGGGCATCACCTGAGGTCAGGAGATTGAGACCAGCCTGACCAACATGGTGAAACTCCACCTCTCCTAAAAATACAGAAATTGGCTGGGTGCAGTGGCTTATGCCTATAATCCCAGCACTTTGGGAGGCTGAGGTGGGCGGATCACGAGGGCAAGAGATCTAGACCATCCTGGCCAACATGGTGAAACCCTGTCTCTACTAAAAAATACAAAAATTAGTGGGTCGCGATGGCGAGCGCCTTTAGTCCTAGCTCCTTGGGAGGCTGAGGAGGAGAATTGCTAGAACCCGGGAGGTGGAGGTTGCAATGAGCCGAAATTGCGCCACTGCACTCCAGCCTGGCTCCAGGCGACAGAGCGAGACTCTGTCTTAAAATATATATATACCAAAATTAGTGGGGCTTGGTGCTGGGCACTTGTCGTCCCAGGTACTCAGGAGGCTGAGGAAGGAGAATACTTGAACCCGGGAGGCAGAGGTTGCAGTTAGCTGAGATCACACCACTGCCCTCCAGCCTAGGTGACAGAGTGAGACTCTGTATCAGAAAAAAAATTATGAGTCTCACGCCACTGAATCACTTGTGGAACACTGCAGCTCAACCTGTGGCACAGGGAGAAGTTGCCAGGGTGGACCTCGCTCCTCAGAGTCACTCCTGCCAGGGTGGCAGCACACCCTACTGTAAGGCAGGCTGGCATTTCAGCCGCTCCCAGAATGTCCTGCCTGGAGAATGAGGTCAGCCCAGCTTACCCCACCCCACCCTCCTGCTCCTCCCATCCTAGCTTCCCAGCTCCCCATCCACCCAGGCCAAGCCAGAACACTGGGCACTTTTCTGGATCCTTCCTTTTCCTTCAAGCCCTCTGCCAAGCCAGACTCTGGCCCTGCCTTCTGAAGGGCAGTGGGACTTGCCCCTTCTTGCCCCCCTCAGGACCACCTTTCCCTCAACCTCACCCCACCCCACAATGGTGCCCAGCCTCCTCCTCAGGCTCTGGGCTCCAGGCCTCCCCCTGACCCACACTCGCTGCAGACACCAGAATGATCTTCCTAAAGCTCCCTGCCTTGGGGACACCTGCTGGAGGCTCCCACTGCCTCCAGGGAGACTTCTCATCCCTGCCCTCCCCTCCTTGCTGTAGCACCCCCTCTGCCTCCTCCTTCATGACCCCAAGTTTCTCTTGCTCCCAAGCTGTTCCCTGGACTGTCTGTCCCTGTGCCCAGCCCAGGTGGTGCAGGTGGTTGGGGTAGGGATGGTTCGTTCACGCAAACAGGAAAAAAGAAAGGGAGGAGGAAGAGGAGAAGGAAGGAGAGGAGGAAGGGAGGAAGAAGGAAGAAGGGAAGAAGGGGGAGGGAGGGAGGAAGAGAGGAAGGGGGGAAGGGGGAAAGGAGGAGAGAGGAAGGGAGGAAGGGAGAAAGGGGGAAAGGAAGGGAGAAAAGTGGGGAAGGGAGGAGGGAGGAAGGGAGAAAGGGGGAAGGGAGGAATGGGGAGGAATGGAAGAGGGAGAACAGAGGAGGGAGGAAGGGAAGAGGGAGGAAGAGAGGAATGGAGAAGGGAGGAAGGGGGAAGGAAGGAGGGAGGAAAGGAGGAGGAAGGGGCAAGTGGGGACGGGGGAAAAGGGCAACTTCATGTTCGGTGCCCTGAGTGCCCCATGTGTGGCTTCACAGGATTGTGGCCAAATTCTTCGTAGTATTTTCATCTGCTCAGGGACATCTCTCCCAGGCTGTGAGCTCCATCCGGACATGGATGGCATGAGTCTCTCATCCTTTGCTTCCCATGGGTACAGCACAGGCTTGGCACAGAGCCAGGGCGGAGCAACGGTAGAACAAGGACCTGGCCTGGCAGCCAAGTTGTCCAGGCCAGCGTGGGCCTCTTCCCAGGAAGAACAGTGCCCACTGCACTGTGGGATAGGGCGTCTGGGCTGGCTGACAGTCTTGCCTCTTCCTGCAATCTTGGGGCACACTGAGGACTTCCAGGTTGGGGTGCACGCCCCTGCCCACCCTCCCCGGTGTACCTTCTGGAGTAAGTTGTAGAGTCTGGCCCGGAGGATGTACACGTCAGCGTTGGTGGTGTCCTGCTTCAGCTCCTTGGTGACAAGCGAGAGGCAATCCTGATATCGCTGGAGGGCCAGGAGGCAGGCCATACTGAAGGCAGAGGGCACAGGGTGCTCTGTTTACTGGGTGGGGCAGCAGGAAGCTCTGCTGGGAGAAGGGGCTGGCAAGGGCACTCACCATCGGTAACGGAAGCATGGTTTCTCGGGCTGGAGCTCAGCAGCATGTGAGAAGACATCCAGGGCACCCAGGAAGGCACACTGCTCAAAAAGGCATTGCCCCTAGGGACACAGGGGACAGCAGAAAGCACTGAGGCAGGAGGGAGAGAGGCAAGAGGCAAGGACAGAGCCTTTTAGATCTCAGAGAGACTTGAAGAGGCAGAGACAGAGGGAGAGAGATACAGACCTGGGGAAAGACAGCAAGGGACTGTGGGCGAGATACAAGAATACAGAGATTCAGGAACAAAGAGAAATTAAGAAAACTCAGATGGCTGGGCCAGACATGGTGGCTCACACCTGTAATCCCATCCCAGCACTTTGGGAGACCGAGGCAGGTGGATCACTTGAGGCCAGGAGTTTGACCAGTCTGGCCGACATGGTGAGACCTCGTCTCTACTAAAAATAGAAAAATTAGACAGGCGTGTTAGTGCATGCCTGTAATCCCAGCTGCTTTGGAGGCTGAGGCACGAGAATCTCTTGAATCCGGGAGGCTGAGGTTGCAGTGAGCCGAGATCATGCCACTGCCCTCCAGCCTGGGCAGCAGAGTGAGACTCCATCTCAAAAAAAAAAAAAAAAACAAAAAACGAAAGAAAACTCAAATGGCAGAAAGACCAGCAGAACTAACAGAAACAGGCTCTAGCCTGGACCTGGGCCCTGGTTGCTGAGCCCTGTGCTAAGAACTTGAACTTGTTTTCTCACTGGCACTAGCATGTTTTTTTTGTTTTTTTTTTAAGACGGAGTTTTGCTCTGTCCCCCAGGCTCGAGTGCAGTGATGTGATTTCAGCTCACTGCAATCTCCGCCTCCCAGGTTCAAGCAATTCTCTGCCTCAGCCTCCCGAGTAGCTGGGATTACAGGTGCCCACCACTACTCCTGGCTAAATTTTTGGTATTTTTAGTAGAGACGGAGTTTCACCACATTGGTCAGGCTGGTCTGGAACTCCTGACCTTGTCATTCACCTGCCTCAGCCTCCCAAAGTGCTGGGATTACAGGCGTGAGCCACCGCACCCAGCCAGCTTGCTTCTCTTATGGATAAAGGAACTGAGGCTCAGAGAGGTGAAGTGACTTGTACAAGAGCACACAGTAAGTGGCAGTGCAGGACACAGGCCCTCAACAGACAGATTCAGCACAGGGTCTGAAGGCCCCAAATGTTTCTTTTTAAGAACTATTTTTTTACATAAACAAAAGACATCAAGCCTGGTGCGGTGGCTCAAACCTATAATCCCAGCACTTCAAGAGGCCGAGGTGGCCAGAGCACTTAAGGTCAGGAGTTGGAGATCAGCCTGGCCAACATGGTGAAAACCCATCTCTGCTAAAAATACAAAAATTAGCCGGGCATGGTGGTGCACATCTGTAATCCCAGCTACTTGGGAGGCTGAGGCATGAGAATCATTTGAACCCGGGAGGTGGAGGTTGCAGTGAGCTGAGATCATGCCACTGCCCTCCAGCCTCGGCAACAGAGCAAGACTGTGTGTCCAAAAAAAAAAAAAGACATCAAGGTTGTCAAAATGGAAGAAAACAAGACTTTGTTGGTGTTTTATAGTCTGATATTGTTTTTACTTTGAAATACACTTGGGGGTCACTGTGACCTTTTCAGTGCTTAGAGCCTGGGGACTCTAGATCTGTGCTGTCTATAGCATTGTGTGGCTATACGCATTTACATTAATTAAAATAAATATGGATATAAAATTCAGTTCTTTAGTCACACTTGCCACATTTCAAGGGCTCAACTGTTCCACGTGGCAGGTGGCTAGCATATTGGACAGTGCCATGTAGATCACTGTTGTTATTGCAGAAAGCCTGATTGGACAGTACCAAACTTGAGCCAAGCCTGGCAGCAAACCAGCCTGGGGAGGTCAGAGGGGCAGCAGGTGGGGACCCAGACACAGGGACAAGGAGGAATCCAAGGAGACAGAGCTGGGCCCAGGAGCCAGGAGAGCACCCCACAGCGGGAGGGAGAGCCATTGGTATGAGGCAAGTGCCCCAAATGGACCCAGGTGGCCCATTCAGGTAGATCACAGGCCACCCCAAATGGATCCGGGTGGCCCATTCGGGTAGATTCAGGTAAGCACCTTCAGGTAGATCACAAAGGTGAGGCGTTCCAGGTGCTTGCTGTTGTCCTGCTGTAAGGAGTAGGCCCTTCGCAAGTTCTGGGTGGCCGAGGAGAAGTCACAGAGCTGGAGGTAGGCTTCGGCCCGCAAGGCGTATAAGTCCAACTGAGGGTGAGGGGACCCAGGCTGCTGGATCCTCCCCACCATCTGCCCCTGGAGGGTAGGGGAAAGTCTCCGTCCCCCTGAGGGTTGACACCCAATTTCCATCAGAGACTTGGTGGTCCTGAGAGGAGGGATCTGGCAGGTGCGACAGGGTTTGGAGGCATGTTTCATAACTGCCTGTGCCCACCCAGGACTGCCTCTCACCAGCTGCGGTTCCAGGTGGAGCGCACGGGAGAAGAACAGCACAGCTGTCTCCCAGTCGGCCTGCTCCAAGCACTGCTGGCCTCTGGAGTAGCTGTGGGGTAAGGGGGGACAGGCAGAGGGTGGCCCTGACTGTGGACTAGCACAGGGCATAGGGCTGGGGCGGGGGTTGGGGGAGGCAGGGGAGCTGGGTGGAGAGGCTGGAGGAGTAGACAGAGCCCAGGGAGGGTAGGCTGGTGTTCCTGGAGTCCAGCCAGGCCACCAGCCTCTTATCCACTGAGGCAGAAGAGACCCGTTAGACAGCTGAGTTCACTGAGGCCCAAAGAGAGTCAGTGGCTTAAGGCTGCATGGTATGTGAATGGCTGTGCCAGGCAAGAACCTGGGATCCCAAAGCAAGGCAGTCACTCACTACTCCCTGACTTTGAGGGGCACTGTTGACCCCGTAACCTTTGGTTTTACTTCACAGATGCTTTGGAACACCTGGCTGGTCCCAAAGATGCGCTGCAGGACCCCTTTGGGGGCTGGAATCACCCATGGTTTTGGGATGTCCTGTGAGGGGGCCTGATCAACCTTCTGGGCATCCTAGAATGAAAGGACAGCAAGCTGGAGCAGGCCCCAGAGACGACCCCCACCCACTGACACTCTCCAGCATTCTGCAGGGAGGAGGGGCGTGAGGCCTGGAAGGAGGCACTCCCAAAGCGGGGTGGGGTGGGGGGGTGGATGGTGCTCCTAACCCCATTTCCCTTAGGGGATGCTCCAACCGGTCCTCTCCAGCCCTGCCTTTCTCCCTCTCCTGTGGTCAAGGTCAGGGATCAGGGTCCTCACGCTTACAATACCATCTGCTTTCCTGGGCCTTTCCAGCTCCCACCTCCGGCTACTGATACCCCAAGCTCTGAGGTCTTCAGCTGAGGTCCGGTCCCAAGTCTCAGGCCTTGGGGGTCCTACAGCCCCTTGGTTACCCTTAGTTACCCTCACTCCAGCAGGCCGCACTGAGCACTTCATCTGACTTCTGCCCCAGGCTCTCCCACCTTGGTGAGGTCACTTCCCCCACCAGCCACCCAAGCCGGAGACATCCGTCCCAGCAGCCGCCGAGTCTTACAAGGATCTCTCACATCCCTGAGTTTTGGCAAGGCGGCCAGGGCCTTCCCTGAATCGCACTGCTGCTCCTGCCCCTCCTGGCCTTCACGCTTTCCTGCGAACCCGGACTCGGTGTCTCTGCCTGGCCCTCTGCCTTTGCTTTAGTCTTCTCCCTAGCACGCACCTTGTCGGAATCTGTCATGAGGCCCCTTCCAAGAGGATCCCGAGACCTCTGCCCACTTCGTCGCTACTTCGGCCCCGACGTTGCTAGGCACCATCACCAGGACGCCCACAGGCCCCGCCCCTCTGGCCACGCCCCCGGGAACCAAGTAGTTTGAGCCGGAAGTGGGTAAAAAACTTTTATTAGCCCGGGCGGTTGCGGCCTACAGCGGAGAAAGGACTTGCCGGATTTTCGCCGCAAGGCAGGGCCATAGCGGGGGGCATAACGAGGCTTCTGCCTTCCAACCGAACGTCAAGCAAGAGCTCCGAGCGTCCCACACAAACCCCGTGGGGACACCGTGACGCCGCGCCACGGAAGGCCTCTGGGCACCGGGAGACGGCCACCGCCTCGCCGCTTCCGCCCGTCAGAACCAAGGTGGCCTTGCAGCCCGGCCCCGATTGGACGCTGGCGGTTGACGCCAGGTAGGTGGCAACGCGATTGGCTGCGGGCTTATGACGTCAGCGCCCGGTGTCCGGACTGTGAATGGGGGCAGCATGAGGCCGCACGGCCTTTTGCGCTCCGGACAGCGGCTGAGTCGGGCCATGAGCCGGTGCGTTTTGGAGCCTCGGCCCCCAGGGAAGCGGTGGATGGTGAGTGGCGTGGGGCGTCCATGTACGGGCTACCGGACCCTAACTTCAGTTCGGCCATTATGTCCCGGGCAGAGTGCCTCCAAATTGCTGCTCTGTTTTCTTAACTGGTGGGTCCAGTACTCGACGGGCTCCAAACTTCCAGAGGCTCCGCTCCTGCACTAGGGAGCCCTGCCTGCCCAGCCTACTGGAGTCCTCGGGAGTGGGGTGTCTGGGCCCCTTCTCCGCGCTCTTTCCCCACTGCAGCGCTGCTCTGCGTTTCCGCTCCTCTGCTTTGGGGCCCACGGGATGCTGTGAGATAGGGGGTGGCGAGAGTTGTCGGGCCTCAGTTTCCCTGGTGCCGCCCGCAGGTGGCTGGCCTGGGGAACCCTGGACTGCCCGGCACGCGACACAGCGTGGGCATGGCGGTGCTGGGGCAGCTGGCACGGCGGTTGGGTGTGGCGGAGAGTTGGACGCGCGACCGGCACTGTGCCGCGGACCTCGCTCTGGCCCTGCTCGGGGATGCTCAGCTGGTCCTGCTCCGGCCACGGCGGCTCATGAACGCCAACGGGCGCAGCGTGGCCCGGGCTGGTGAGTTTAGGGCTCCAGAGGTGGGTGGGCAGGCCGCGGGGATGGGGCTGGGGGCGCAGGGGCCAGAGAGGGCCTGGCTGTGACAGATCCGCGGGTTCGCCTCCAAGTGCCTGTTGGCCTTGGGTACTTGTGGAGGCCTCAGTTTCTTTATATGTGAAGTGGGATTAGTTGTGGCCACTCCTCATGGGAGTTGGGATGGTGCCCCTCTGGGCAGATGGTCAGTAACCAGGGATGTCGTTTCCCTGTGCTAAGCGGAACTGTTTGGGCTGACTGCCGAGGAAGTCTACCTGGTGCATGATGAGCTGGACAAGCCCCTGGGGAAACTGGCTCTGAAGTTGGGGGGCAGTGCCAGGTGAGGTCCTGAGATGGTCAGGGTTGGGATAGGGCTGCAGGCCTCCCAGTTGGGGTGGAGTAGGGCTGCTGACCCGCTCTCCATAGGAGATGGGCTGCCCTGACCCAGCTGGGGCAGGGAGGGGTAGAAGGATGCTGCCCCAGGGAGGCACTAACTGCCCCTCCCATATCCCTTGAAGGGGCCACAATGGAGTGCGGTCCTGCATTAACTGCCTCAACTCCAATGTGAGTCTACCCTTCTGTTGTGCAACTGGGTGGGGTGGGCCAGCGGTACCCCAGCACCTCACCAAAGCTCCCTGGGCCTCTCTGGCTCTCCCACAGGCAATGCCAAGGCTGCGAGTGGGCATTGGGCGCCCAACACACCCCGAGGCGGTACAGGCCCATGTGCTGGGCTCCTTCTCCCCTGCTGAGCAGGAGCTGCTGCCTCTGTTGCTGGATCGAGCCGCCGACCTGATCTTGGACCACATCCGTGAGCGAAGCCAGGGGCCCTCACTGGGGCCCTGATACCAGTGGCCATGGCTGCCCGCCTGACTATAGTGCCCACAAACCCAGCCTCAGTCATAGAGCTGCCACACCAGCCTTGGTATCTACTTTTTATACAGCTCTCCTCTAGACTGTTCCAGGCTGCCCACAGATTAAAGTGGGAGTGACTGTGGCTGAAATGGTCCATTTCTGGAGCCAGTTCTTCTTTCTGTGTCCTACTTGGGATGTAGGGGAAATTCAGGAAGACTAAACTTTTTGAGCCTTTTTAGAGAACCAGGGGCATGGATCTGTAAGATTAAAGATACTGGTTTGAGGCCGGACTCGGTGGCTCACACCTGTAATGCCAGCACTTTGGCAGGCAGAGGTGGGTGGATTGCTTGAGATCAAGAGTTTGAGATCAGCCTGGCCAACATGGTGAAACCCCGTCTCTACTAAAAATATAAAAATTAGCCAGGTGTGGTGATGGGCATCTATAATCCCAGCTACTTGGGAGGCTGAGGCAGGAGAATTGCTTGAACCCGGGAGGCAGATGTTGCCGTGAGCTGAGATTGCGGCACTGCACTCCGGCCTGGGTGACAGAGTGAGACTTCGTCTCAAAACAACAACAACAACAAAAAAAAAAAGATGCTAGCTTGGAAGCTAAGGCCTCTTCAGGGGGATCTCACTCTTCCCTTGCTGGCAGGGGAGGGGACAACAGGATCCAGCCAGCCCTGCTCCCGGGGCATGTGTGGGCATGCCTTGGTCCACTGAGAGCCAGACACTCCTTTCTTCAGCCCATTTTACAGATGGGAAGGCTCAGAGAGGTCTGGTTACATCCCCAGGGCCACACAGCTGTGGCCTGGCAGATCCTTCATTTGTACCCAGGACTTGCTGCCACCTTGCTGTCCCTGGGGCCCCTAGCACCCTCACCTCATGGTTGCTGTGTGTCCGGAAGGTCCCCACGCGGGTGATATATGACAGCAGTCTGAGGTCCTGGGGGTTGGGTGGGATGCGGGCCTGGCAAGGTACCAGGCCTAGATCCCCTGGCCGGTAGGGTGTGATATGAGAGAGCTGCGGCAGCAGAGACCCAGTCCTAGGCAGCTGGATGCTGGGCTGGCTGTAAGGAAGGGGCTGAGGGTCACAGAGACTTCGGCAAGCCTGGGTTTTGGCCCAGAGTGAGCTGAGCATGGGCTTGAAGGCTCACCTCTCCTTGGGTGAACCATGGGACTGTGACTCCTGGTGGGGACACATAGCCTTCTGGGATCTCGGGACCACAGTGGAGCCAAGCATGACCAGCAGTTGCTGCAGCATCTCCTTGTGCCACAGCTGGAACATCACATCTAATTCGCTGTCCTGTTCATCAGGGCGCATCTGTGGGTGACGGTGGGGTGGCAGCAGGCCCACAGTGGCCCCAGTACCCATACTTCTCCAGGAAATTCCAACCTCAGTGCCCGTTTCCATGAAGTGTTCCCTGAATGTGATGGGATACCCATTCTCCTTTCAGGAAGACTGAGGCCTGAGACCTTTCAGAGCCTCGGAGAAGGAATCCAGCTCCTCAGAAAAGGCCAGAATCAGCAAAGGACAGACTTTCTGGGAGGCTCTCAGGGAAGAGGGGCCTCTGACCTTGAGGCAGCCCCTTCTCTGCAAGCAGCTTCCATCTTGGGCTCACTCCCCTTCCCATGACGCTCTCCCTCCCTCCCTTCTGCTTACCTGCAGAATGCTCTGTAGGAAGGAGGTGGCCTGGGCCAGGGCCGCCTCCAGGCTGGCCCGAACCTTCTGCTCATCAGCCAGTTCCTGCTCTAGCCTCCGCAAGTCCACCTGTCGCTGCTCCAGCTGCAGGCTCAGCTGGTCTCTCTGGCTCCTGGGCCCCAATGAGTCAACAGCGTTCCCCCTTTCCCAGGACTGGCGCCACCTGGGGCCAGGGGCCCTGCCATTTCTCTCCAAGCCCACAGGGACCCCCAGCCAGCCCCAAGTCTCAACCCATCTGGCAGTTTCCTCTAGAGATGGGAAGTTGCTGGCCCAGGTCGTGAGGTCAGAAAGAGCTGGGCTGGAGCTTGGCCCCAGCCTGCACCCGCCACCTGCCACCCGCCCCTCCTCAGGCTATACGCACGTCAGTGCCTGATTGTCCACCTGCAGCTGCACGATTCTCTGCTCCAACTGGCTCAGCAGGAGGCGCAGCTCCTTGGCCTCCTTGATGTCCTGCTGCTGCTCCTGGCACTTCTTGGTCAGCATGAGGATGACCTGTGGGTGCGGGCAAGTGGCCATGCCCTCAGCCAGCCCTATCCCCAGCTCCAGACACAGCCAGGCCTCCCCAGTCCCCCTGTGCAGAGTGGCCAGTGCTGCCGCTGGGTAGAGCCCCGAGCTTTCCAGGGCTGTGCTCTGCTTATATAAGTTATGGGGGCTTTGAGTAAATAAAATCTGGACTTAGGTCCACTGCCCTTCAGCCCCCACAGGAGGCCCAGTCCTCTGTCCACTGCCTCCCTCCCTCCTGACTCGACTCCACCCCTGCAGGGCCCCTGGGGCTGCCTCCTGCCTTGCATGCAAACACCCTGTGCTGAGACCTGCAGGCACACCTTCTGGTAGCCAATTTTGTGCCTGGCCATGACCTTCTCTGTGTTCTCCAGCAGCTCCACCTGTTTGCACAGATAGTCCTGACTTTGCTTGAGCTGCTCATTCTCCTGCAGCAGCTGCGCGCCTTGCCGGGAGATCCTGGCGATCTGTAGAGTAATGCTGCTGTTCTCTGTGATGGCCCGTTTGGTTGTCTCCCGCATCCGGTTTGCAGTCACCTTGTGGAACTCATTGGCCACAACGTTCACGCGCTGGATGATCTCTTTCCTCAGTCTGGCCAGAAAGACAGGAGTGAAAGGGGGGCCAGACTGAGGAAAGAGCAGGCACAAGCCCTGGGCACACCCCTTTCCTTTGTGAAGTTTCCAGAGCACTAGGGGTGTGAAACACCTGCACGCTCTCTCCCTGGGAGGGGTGGAGCTATGGGCAGGACTTTCCCTGTAGATCCTCTGGACCTTTGGAACTGGTACCATTTCAATGTACTCTCAACTATTAAATAAAAATGATTTAATCCCAGTAAGTGGCAAATGGAAGCCCTGGGAGTCTCCAGTGCCAGCAAGAGGACTGCATCTGTGAGCTGATTCCTTTTCTCATACCTCTCCGTAATCACCAGCTGGGATTCCAAGGAGTAGCAGGTTGGGGGGGGGGGCGTCATTTACCCATCTAACCTCCCACTTAGAAGCTGAGACCTGAAGACTAGGATGTTCATGGCCCCAGGGATGAAGGCTCCAGAGGCCCTGGAGGGTGCCCTACTTGCCCACCTTTCCTTGTCCAGCACCGACTTCTTCTCCAGGTCGTACGCATAGTCCCTGAATTCACTCTCCTGCTTCTGCACCTGGTCCTCCAGCAACATGAACTTGTCCATGATATCGTCTTTCTGCAGCCGGAACTCCTCCAGGGCTGCCAGCTTCCCCCCTGGCCACCGCAGGGCACAAGGCCCAATTAGGGGTTGCCTCAGAGGACAAGGCCTGGTGAGGACCTTAAAGATGCCCCTTAGGTCCCTGTCCCTTCCTGTGTGCCCTGTGCCATCTGACTCAGTGGGGCAGGTCTACCATCCCTTACCTGCCCTGCCTGGCCCTGCCGCCTTTACTGCCTTCATCCGGGCTCCCTCCCTCTTCCCTTCCGCGAATGTTATGAAGCTTTGTTCAAGTTCTGCCTCTTTCAAGAAGCCTCCCTGATGCTCTCATGAAAGTAACAGTGACAACAGCAACTGGATTTTTTTTTTTTTTTGAGACAGGATCTTGCTCTGTCACTCAGGCTAGAGTGCAGTGGCACAATCACAGCTTGCTCAACCTCCCAGGCTCAAGAGATCCTCCCACCTCAGCCTCCCAAGTAGCTGGGACTACATATGTGCACCACCACACCTGGCTAATTTTTCTATTTTTTTTGGTAGAGGTGGAGTCTCACTATGTTACCTAGGCTGGTCCTGAGTTCCTGGGCTCAAACAATGCTCCCGCCTTAGCCTCCTAAAGCACAAGGTTTACAGGCATGGGCCGCCACACCTGGCCAGCAGCTGGACTGTATATATTCTCTGGGCCAGGTTCTAATGCCATCTGACATTTGAGCCTCACAACCCTTGCCAACTGGGGGGTCTTGGTCACGACACTTCACCTTTTAAGGTGCTTCCTCATCTACAAACTGGTTGGGGATGTTTCCAGCTTCGTAGGATTGCTGGAACAGTTAAGGAAGACAGTGTGTGCCAAACACCTGTGGCTGTTCTCCCTGTTTCTCAGGTGAGAAACAGGGTCAGCGATAGAGCTGGGATGTGAGCCCTGTGTTTTGTCCCTGCTGTGGGTGCCTGCAGGCTTGCCAGCCAGTCCCCTCCTCACCAAGAACGATATTCTCAGTGGTGAGCTGGTCCTTGGTCTCCTGGAACTCGTGGCACATCTGGGCTAGCTGCGCCTCAAAGGCGTTCTTCTTCATCTCGTTGGCCATCTGCAGGTTCTGGAGCTGCTCATTGAGATCCGTGATCTCATCCACCTGTTGGTTGAGTGTGCGCTTGAGGAAGGCCACAGTCTCCTTCTTGCTGTTGGCCAGCTGCTCGAACTCCTGGCGGAACAGCTTCTCCTGCACTGCCAGCTCATCCCACTTCCGCTGGTACCTGGGGCGGGGGCAGGGCAATGGTCCAGGGGTCAGGCTGGGCAAGCCAGGCCTGCAGTGCAGTTGGGCCCACTCTCCTGGATACCCTGTCCCATAAAGTGGCATTTGAGATTCCTTGTGATGAGAATCCAGCCTAATCTCCCACTATTTCCCCTGATCTGGCAGTCATTACCGCAGCCAATGCCTGTGCTTAGCATATTATTTTTATTACACCACTAGAATGTAAACTCCATGAGGGCAGGGTCTTGTTATGTTCAAGTATGTCCCCAACACCTGTGTCTGGTACATAGCCAGATGTGCAATGTTTGTTAAATTGTTACAACAACTTATAAGAATGTAGGTACTGGCCAGGTGCAGTGGCTCACACCTATAATCACAGTACCTTAGGAGGCTGAGGTGGGCGGCTCATGAGATCAGGAGTTCAATGCTAGCCTGACCAAAATGGTGAAACCCTTTCTCTACTAAAACTACAAAAATTAGCTCGGCATGGTGGTGCGTGCCTGTAATTCCAGCTACTCAAGAGGCCGAGGCAGGAGAATCGCTTGAACCTGGGAGGCGGAGGTTGCAGTGAGCTGAGATTGTGCCACTGCACTCCAGCCTGGGTGACAAAGCAAGACTCTGTCTCAAAAAAAAAAAAAAAATGTAGGTACTATGATGATTATAAGTATTTGACAGATGAGAAAACTGAGGCTCCGAAGGATAAAGGAACTCTGAGTTTGTAAGTGGCAAAGCCAGGATTTGAACATGAGTCAGTCTGACCCCCAGAATCAAGGCTCTTAGCCACAATGCTGCCTGCTGTGGTTGGCCAGCTCTGCATGCCTCCATAACTCTGCCACACTTTCAAATCCCAAGTCTTTGTACCTACCGTCTCCCTTACCTTTTTCCATCCAGTAACCCTGGTGGACCCTTCTTGGCCCTGAGCCACATTTGTGGCCCTGTCTTTGGTGCTCTCCTGTAAGTTGGCCCTTGTCCCACTGGGTGGTTGAAATCTTATAACATGCCCCTCTCCTCCACCTCTGTATTCTCAGAGCCTGACAGACCGCTTGGCAAATAGTAAGCACCCAATAACTCTGCTAAATGCATTTTCCTTGACTACATTCTACCCTATGTCTCAGCTCAAGGGAAGTTTGTTAATTTTAACCAGCATCACATAACCAATTTGCTGGTTTCCAAAGAAATAACTGAAGATACTTGGAAAGTTGTTTTACATCGTAATTTAGTTGACCAACATCTTTCAACTGGTGACTGCACACAGAGCACTTCAGGGCTGTGGCCTGAGAAAGCAGCCTTGCACAGGGCTCCCATTCTGGTGCCTCCTATTCTCACAAGTGACTTTCCTTCTCTAAGCCTCAGTCTCCCCCATCTGTGCAATGCGCATGACATCAGGACCTCTCTAGTAAGACTTCTGTGAGGACTCTGCACCAGCACATGGCCCACCTGGCACCACCAGGGACTCAGCATTAGCTATGGTTATCCACAGCATCCCTGGGGAAGAGTTGCCCCTGCTTGTCTTTTAAGGTCACCCTGAGACAGGCTGGTGCCTCATAACTGGGAGGAAACATGAGAAAATGATGGGCAAGTGAACATGGCTCTAAATGAAGAGTTCGAGGTTGTCCCTGTCCCCACCACGTCACACAAAACTGGCTCTAGAACAGAATGTCACAGCTGTGGAGGAGGAATAAGCCTTTCCCACTTACATTTGGGTAAACTGAGGCCCAGCGTGGCAAAACAATTGGGCTCATGTGCTGAGTGGGTCAGTGGGGCACAGGTGCCACTGCCAGGAAGCGGAAGTGGGGCCACGGGTTCCCCTGCCTGCTGGAGGGCTGTTTCCACCCTTTTGTGAAGCCTGTGGTCCCACTGGGCAGGAGTGAGGCAGGAGAAAGCAGGGATTGCCTGGGGTGGGGCCACGAGATAGCATCATGGGCCCAGGGTTCTAGGAGCTGGGAAGGTGGGGAAATCCATTTACCCTCAAACTCTTGAAACCTCCCAAAGGTACATAGGAGGAAATGAGGCTGGGGTCGGGTGGGGTCTGGACATCTCATGGGAGGCCAGAACACAGGCCTAGGGCCCCCCTTAGCCAAACCTGCCCTGGGCATGGGCTTCTGACCCAGGGCACCAGACTCTTGGCCACCAGCCCACGCACCGGGCCAGCCGGTCCTCCAGGTCTCGAATCTGGATGTGGTAGAACTCCTTCACCTCCGTGGCCAGAGGTGCCTCCACAATCACTACAGGCTCCCTGTTGCCCGCTTTCTTCTTCTTGACCTCAAGCTCCTTGCCTGCCTTACTCATACTCTTTTTGGGAGCCATGGCTGTTGGCAGCCAAGGGTTCCAGCCTCCAGGAAGCAGCCAGGTGGTTGCTAAGGAAGCCAGTCCCATACATAGCAACAGGCTGAGGTAGTGAGACTGGGCTTAAAGGGACCCTGCCCTCTTCCCTTTAGTGCCAGTACCAGGTCCTGCTCCAAGGCAGATGGCATCATTGAGGCCCCAGGCCCAGGGGAGTCCTAGGCCATGGAAGGCAGGACCCCTGGCTCTCAGGGCAAACTTTTGGGCTTCTGGGGAGACCCCTCTTTTCCTCTTGTGGAAATAAATGCTGTGTTTCGTTCATGTGGGTCAGGGCCCTGGAAATCGCCATCCTCTCCTTTGTGCTGATCAGGAGATGGACAGCACTAACCCTGGGCACACAAAGCCCATTCTGCAGCTTTGGTCTAGGGTGGCAGTGTCCTGGCGTGGGTGCGGTAGGGGGTCCAGCTGGGTGTGTCCCTGGCTGGCAGCTGGGTGCCTCTATGAGCTCCAACCCCAGCCCTAATCTCAGCCAGCCAGGCCTGGGTGCCTGCCTGTGTTCCCCAACCAGCCCAGGCACTCCCTGGGACAAGGGGCAGGTCCTCTCCATCCCTGTCTTCCCAGGGCTTGGCACTTAGCAAGAGATGGCTACAGCGCCACCCTGAAAAAGTCTGACAGTAGCCAAGGTGGATGGCAGTGGTACTTCCGAAAGTGTGGTTTATTGGAGCAGCTATATCTTGTGAGTTGCAGGACTCTTGGGGTGGGGGAAGAGGGATGAGGAAGCCTTGGGGGCACCGTGAGGGGTCAGAAACACAGGGAGGTGGGGCGTTTTTGCTGTTGGAGATGAAAAAGATCAGAGAAGTGATTAGTTAGTCCAAAGTAAGCTCACATTTGGGCTCTGTCTGACCTCCAGTGAGACCTTGGGCCAATGGCCTGAACCCTGCTCTGTGAAAGAGCTCGTGAGACCTCATCCATAAAGTTCCTGGTGCAGGGATGCTGGGGGCACTTAGTGAGTAGGGGCCCATGAAGCTCCCGGCCACTTTGTGTGGTGGGCAGGCAGCTACTAGAATTTCTGACACCTCTGAACCCCATCTGTGGTGGTCTTTCCTTCCCAGGGTGCCTGTTCCCTTTAGGCAGGGCAGCCCTGGGAGGGCAGAAATGTGTCTGGCAGAGGAAAGAGATGCCCATGCTTCTGCATAGGCCTCAGCCTGTGTGCACTCACAACAGTGAGGGAGCTCTGGCTGCCCGGTACCGAGACCAGCTCAGCCGTAGAGACCCCCCCACCCAGTTGGCACTGAAGGCATTGAGAAGCAGACTCCCAGATAGAACAGCAAGGTGGGACTATCTAGGGGGCCAACAGCCCTCTAAGCCTAGAGCCTCGAGTGGACTCTGACCCACATATTTATTCTCTCTGAACAGTGATTATTACTAATAAACAGATGTTCTGTGTTTTCTCATAGGACAAAAATAAACTAGGTAGGCAGCTGGTGCCTGCTTACCACTGATCACAGACAAACCAGCAAGTATTTTCCACGAGGGAGCCCCGGGGGCAGGGTCACATACCCTGCGCTTAAAGAATTGTTTTAACTGGTGTGTGATATACATACACTGTTTTGCTACTTTAGAATGCCCCAAGCAGTTTTCCACTGGCGGAGGGGAGAGGGGACTGCCAGGCTTTCCTTGCCATCGTTCTCAGCAAACAATATGCTTTATCATACACTCAGCATTTCTCAACAGCCCAGGACTGCAGATGACGCTGACACTGAGGCCTCGGGGGAAGAGGCCTGGCCCAGTGCCCTTCCAGCCCAACTCAATGCTCCTGCTTCTGCTGGACACTGCCCCCTTCCCCACCTGAACAGCTGCTCCCGCAGGAGCCTAGGCAGGCAAAAATTCCCACGGTGCTCCCAGCTGACCTGGGGGGGCCTCCCAATGCCTCCCCAGTTTCTACTCTCTTTTCCCCAGGGCCATTGCAGGGGATAGCTCTGAATTCCCAGCTTGATGGACCCATAGCCTCTCAGGCAGCCTGGAGCCCACAGAGGGTGTCAGCTTGGACACCTGTCCTCCTCCCCTTCCTCAGCACCAGGATGGCTTCATCAGCACCACGTGGCAAGAGGGATGAGCTGAACTTCCAGGCCCGCCTTCCAGGTGGAGGCAGGGAGGGGAGGCTGTAGGCTGGAGGGAGAGGACTTTCTGGGGCTTGCTTGGAGACTCTCCCCAAAGCTCCCTACTTTGACCCATAGGCCACTACTTGCCACAGGGATGCCGTCTCATGACCGCTTCTCCAGCAGCCTTCTGTAGTCTCTTGGGGACTGAGACTGATGGGCCTAGAGCTACTGGAGCTGTGAGACACAAAGTCAGCAACCGTGCCAGAGCTGGGTCTCCTGAGAGGAGTCAGGCAGTGCACAAAGCCATGCAGACTGCATCCAGCTGAGGACTGGACAGGTCTGGGCCGCTGTCACCTCTGGGAGGCTCTGGAGGGGAGAAACCTAGGCACTAGGTAGGCAGGGAGGCCAGGCATCACTAGTTCATACCTGTAATCCCAGAACTTTGAGAGGCCAAAGTGGGAGGATCACTTAAAGCAAGGAGTTCATAGACCAGCCTGGGCAATATAGCAAGACCCCCATCTCTTAAAAACAAAAATTAACCAGGCATGGTGGTGTGTGCCTGTAGTCCCAGCTACTCTAGAAGCTGAGGTGGGAGGATTGCTTGAGCCCAGGAGTTTGAGGCTGCATAGTTATGATCGTGCCACATGGTCTCTGTTCAGGATGCCATCTGGTCTGAGTTAGGTACAGGCCAATAAAGGAAGCCGTTAATCTACAGTAAGGTCAGTGATTGGGAGGGGGAGTTCTGGTCTCCGGTCTTTCCTTGTCATTTACAGAATGGGAACAATGCAGTGGGAGGTTAAGCTCCAGTCTGAAGGAGGACTGCAAAACAGGCTGGGTGGCTCACATCAGTCACCTCTCGGCTTAAAGTGGTTTTGGGGTTCCAACAACTTTTATATTTTTTTTCTTTTTTTTTTTGGAGACAGAGTCACAGGCTGGAGTGCGGTGGCACGATTTCAGCTCGCTGCAACCTCTGCCTCCTGGTTTTGAGCAATTCTCCTGCCTCAGCCTTCCAAGTAGCTGGGGACTACATGCACACGCCACCACGCCTGGCTAATTTTTATTCATTTATTTATTTTTTTAGAGATGGGATTTCACTGTGTTGGCCAGGCTAGTCTTGAACTCCTGACCTTGTGATTCACTCACCTCAGCCTCCCAAAGTGCTGGGATTATAGGCGTGAGCCACAGTGCCTGGCCCTAATTTTTAAAGAGTTTTTGGTGGAGATGGGGTTTCACCATGTTGCCCAAGCTGGTCTCGAACTCCTGACCTCAAGTGATCTGCCTGCCTTGGCCTCCCAGAGTCCTGGGATTACAGGCATTAGCCACCACACCTGGCCAGCTTTTAAATTTTACTCTGACATGTTGGACACCCAGCTGGTGTCAGAATTGGTACGAAAAGTAGCAAATATTTGGTGTTAGAAAAACATTTCTCCCCCAACCCCCCCAGTTCTCTGTTGTGAAAGTTTTACCTGGGGTGTTGTACTCTAGGCAGGTGTGGTCAGAAAGACATGGGCAGGCTCTCCTTCCAGCTCCTAGTCTGACTCTTCATTTCGCCCTGGGAGGGGAAGGCTGCTGGCCTTTCTCTACACAGCACCCCCACCCCCATCCCTCTGCTGCAGAAACTCTACTGCAAGCCGGTACAGCAGGGAGGACGTTTCCCACAAGGCCCACCTGGAGTGTGGCAGCTCTCTTCTCCAGGTGGGGCAGGTTGAGAATGCTGGGGCCCTGCTGGCCTCACTCCAGCTAGCTCATAGGGTGGAGGCTTCATGCCAGGCTGGGTGAGACCAGCTGAGAATGCCATGACTGCCACCCCCTGGTGCCCACTTATAGAGCAGGGTGTGACTTAGGAAAAGTAGGTCCCTCCCCCAGTTTGGGTGCAGTGGCAGATGGGTTTTGCTCTGGGGAAAGAGTCAGGGGAAGAGAACAGAGCTCTGTGGCTCTGCCGAGGAAACTGACTTTACTTCTGTCACTGCTTCAAAAACTCCATGGCTAAGGGCTGCCAAAGACAAAATTACAAAGATCGTAGCTGACTTTTTAAATTTAATTTTTTTTTTTTAAAGACAGAATCTTGCTCTGTCGCCCAGGCTGGACTGCAGTGATGCAATCTTGGCTCACTGCAACCTCTACCTCCTGGATTCAAGTGATTCTCATGCCTCAGCCTCCCCAGTAGATGGGATTACAGGCACATACCACCATACCCAGATAATTTCTGTATTTTTAGTAGAGACAGGGTTTTGCCATGTTGACCAGGCTGGTCTTAAATTCCTGACCTCAGGTAATCTGCCCACCTCGGCCTCCCGAAGTGCTGGGACTACAGGCGTGAGCCACTGCAACTACCCTTAATTGGCTTTTATTTGTGATTCTAGAATTGGGTGATAGAGTGTTCTGATGAGCTGAAGAGAAGAGGTTGGTTTTACAGATAGGATGGCTGACAAAAGCAGAAATAGAACAAAAAGTAGATTGGTTGTTTCAAAGTGACTTTCAGCTGGGCACGGTGGCAAGAACTTTCGGAGGCCGAGATGGGCAGATCACCTGAGGTCAGGAGTTCATGACTACCCTGGACTAAATGGCAAAACTCCTCTATTAAAAATTAAAAAAATTAGCTGGGTGTGGTGGCAGGTCTCTATAATCCTAGCTACTTGGGAGGCTGAGGCAGGAGAAAGTCTTGAATCTGGGAGGCAGAAGTTGCAGTGAGCCAAGATCGAGTCTCTGCACTCCAGCCTGGGCGACAGAGCAGGATTCCATCTCAAAAAATAAGTGGCTTTCCTTATAAAGGTTAAAGCAGAGGGGACTTCGTTGTCATACTGGCTAAATCTCAATCGTTTAGGGAGTTGGTTTTTCTCTCTCACTCTTCTGGCTTCATGCAAAGTCAGATAAATAACTTAGTTTCAGCTTGGTAACATAGGAAAGCATGAATGACTTCATTTTAGTTTGGCCATTCGGGCTTATTGCAGGGACTCAATCCAAACCAATGGCCTTCT